CCCTAGATAAGACCCTATTAGAGCTACTACAACATAACAATAGATAAAATGAAATAAAAAAATACACAATAACTTAACAAGATTTAAATATATATTTGTTTATTATGTTCAAATACAAAGTGTAGAGATAAAAGCACACACGAATAACACGTGTTCAAAAATTTTCATCGGACGACGGGTCTGTCAGTGTTTCATACATTAGTTTTTTTTTTTTCTTTTTCTATCTTGAAAATTGTTCGGCACACTTATAGAACTAAACACCAAGCACCTCCAACGCCAACATCATTATCATAAACATTAAATAATAAACAAATATGGAAAATTGCAAAAAAAAAATATTTAACACTGGACCTGACATTGCTCTTCATTTTAGAACCAGTATAAAACCATTATGTTTACAATAACAACAATAACTGATAACATAAACGAAAAACAACAATTTAAATGTATCAAGTCGTATGATTTCGTCGTTTGTTGTTATTTTGATTCTTTACTCTCTCTCGTTTTTTTTTTCTGAATATGTAATTTTTCGCTTAGAAATCGTCGGAAAAAACTTCTAGCTATTCTATTAAGATAGACATTCAGACAGACATAATTTAATTGTCGTTTTTTAACGTAATAATAAAATATTTGTTTAATCATTTTAAAAGTTTCCCCTTCCAACTAAACCGCAAAAACAATTTAGACTTTTTGTCTAAAAAGGAAAGTTTTTCTTATTTTTTTTTTTAATAATTTATTAAAGATCTTGACATTGATATATAATTAAACACTCACAAGAGTGCCTATACTGATAAAAATGGCGCCCTTTCTATAAAAAGTTAAACGTATTTAATAGACTTACATTATGATTTGGGGATTGAAAATTTTGAAATAATTATACAGTCTTGACTATAGAATATAGTCCAAACTACAGTCCAGAATATAGACTACATATTCTATAGTCCAGACTATAGACTATTCTATAGTCCGGACTTTAATCGATTCTATAGTCCAGACTATAGACTATCCTATAGTCCAGGCTATAGACTATTCTATAGTCCAGACTATAGACTATTCTGTAGTCCAGACTATAGACTATAGTTTACTCTAAAGTCCAGACTATAGACTATTCTATAGTCCAGACTATAGACTATTCTATAGTCCAGACTATAGACTATTCTATAGTCCAGACTATAGACTATTCTCTATTCCAGACTGTAGACTATTCTATAGTCCAGACTGTAGACTATTCTATAGTCCAGACTATAGACTATTCTATAGTCCAGACTATAGACTATTCTGTAGTCCAGACTATAGACTATAGTTTATTCTAAAGTCCAGACTATAGACTATTCTGTAGTCCAGACTATAGACTACAGTTTATTCTAAAGTCCAGACTATAGACTATTCTATAGTCCAGACTATAGACTATTCTATAGTCCAGACTATGGACTATTATATAGTCTAGACTTTAGACCATTCTATAGTCCAGACTATATCTACTCTGTAGTCCAGAATATAGTTTATTCTATAGTCCAGACTATAGTTTACTCTATAGTTCAGACTATAGTCTATTCTATAGTCCAGACTATAATCTATTCTATAGTCCAGACTATAGTCTATTCTATAGTCCAGACTATAGTCTATTCTATAGTCCAGACTGTAGTATATTCTATTATCTAGACTATAGTATGAACTCTAGACTATTCTACAGTTCAGAATATAGACTACATATTCTATAGTCCAGACTATAGACAATTCTATAGTCCAGACTGTAGACTATTCTATACTTAGTCCAGACTATAGACTATTCTATAGTCCAGACTATGGACTATTCCATAGTCGAGACTGTAGACCTTTCTATAGTCCAGACTATATCTACTCTATAGTCCATACTATTGCTTATTCTATAGTTCAGACTATAGTATATTCTATAGTCCAGACTACAGTATATTCTATAGTCCAGACTATAGTCGATTCTATAGTCCAGACAGTAGTATATTCTATTATCTAGACTATAGTCTATTCTATAGTATATTCTATTATCTAGACTACAGTCCAGACTATAGTATATTCTATTATCCAGACTATAGTCTATTCTATAGTCCAGACTATAGTCTATTCTATAGTCCAGACTATAGTCTATTCTATAGTCCAGACTATAGTCTATTCTATAGTCCAGATTATTGTCTATTCTATAGTCAAGATTATAGTATATTTTATAGTCCAGACTATAGTCTATTCTATAGTCCAGACTATAGCCTATTATATAGTCCAGACTATAGTCTATTCTATAGTCCAGACTATAGTCTATTTTATAGTCCAGACTAGAGTCTATTTTATAGTCCAGACTAGAGTCTATTCTATAGTCCAGACTATAGTCTATTTTATAGTCCAGACTATAGTCTATTCTATAGTCCATACTATTCTTAACTGTAGTCTATTCTATAATCTAGACTATTCTGAAAAATAGACTATACTATAGTCTGGACTATTGACTATTCTCTAGTCTGGGCTATAGACTATTCTATAGTCAGGACTATTTTTTTTTTCGATTTCTAATTTTTCTCAAATGATGTTAAGCCTTTGATAAAATACTGTGGGTCCATAGTATGTATAATATATTTACTTTAATACGTATTATATGCCGAAAGATTAAATGAAAATTTCATCATTTAAGTCATAATTGTTTGCACGTTTAATTAGTTGGGGGAGAGGTGATAACAGATGTTGTCTTAAAATTTTGGAGGCATGACTTATTTTGTGCATTAAGATTATCAGAAGTATTCTTCAGAATCTTTAATATATTTTTGTGAATGTATATTTATTATATACTATGGTCTCATACGTATATTGTATACATATTTTTTATATTTAATTTTAAGAAATGATCTTTGTACAGTTAACTGATAATACACATCACGATGACTTAGCTGCAGATCGAACAGGGTAACTAAAAATTCAAGGTTTATTAAAGAAAATCTGAAAAGGGAATCTACAAATATTTAAACGATCTAGACTAGACTATAGACTAGAATATAGTCCAGACTATAGACTAGACTATAGTCCAGACTATAGATTAGACCAGACTATATACTAGACTGTAGTCCAAACTATAGACTAGAATATAGTCCAGACTAGAAAAGGCTATAGTCTATTCTAGTTCGTACTATAGTCTAGTGTATAGTAGTCTATTTCCTGAACTATAGTCTAGTCTATAGTCTGGACTATAGTCTAGTCTATAGTCTGGACTATAGTCTAGTCTATAGTCTGAACTATAGTCAAGTCTATAGTCTGGAATATAGCCTAGTCTATAGTCTGGACTGTAGTCTAGTCTATAGTCTGGACTATAGTCTAGACTATATAGTCTGGACTATAGTCTAGTCTATAGTCTGGATTATAGTCTAGTCTATAGTCTGGACTATAGTCTAGTCTATAGTCTGGATTAAATTCTTGTCTAATGTCTGGACTATAGTCTTGACTATAGTCTGGACTATAGCCTAGTCTATATAGTCTGGACTATACTCTAGTCTATATAGTCTAGTCTATAGTCTGGACTAAAGTCTTGTCTATAGTCTGGACTATAGTCTTGTCTATAGTCTAGACAATAGTCTAGTCTATAGTCTGGACAATAGTCTAGTCTTTCTTAGTCTAACTATAGTCTGGACTATAGTCTAGTCTATAGTCTGGACTATAGCCTAGTCTATAGTCTGGACTATAGTCTAGTCTATAGTCTGGACTATAGTCTAGTCTATAGTCTGGACTATAGTCTAGTCTATAGTCTGTCTATACTCTGGACTATAGTCTAGTCCTTAATCTAGACTATAGTCTGGGCTATAGTCTAGTCTATAGTCTGGACTATAGTCTAATCTATAGTCTGGACTATAGTCTAGTCTATAGTCTGGACTATAGTCTAGTCTATAGTCTGGACTATAGTCTAGTCTATAATCTGGACTATAGTCTAGTCTATAGTCTGGACTATAGTCTAGTCTATAGTCTGGACTATAGTCTAGTCTATAGTCTGGACTATAGTCTAGTCTATAGTCTGGTCTATAGTCTGGTCTTAGTCTGGACTATAATCTAGTCTTAGTCTGGACTATAATCTAGGCTATAGTCTGGACTATAATCTAGTCTATAGTCTGGACTATAGTCTAGTCTATAGTCTGGACTATAGTCTACTCTAAAGTCTGGACTATAGTCTAGTCTATAGTCTGGACTTTAGCCCAGTCTATAGTCTGGACTATAGTCTAGTCTATAGTCTGAACTAAAGTCTAATATATAGTCCGGACTGTAGTCAAGTCTGTAGCGTACACTATAGTAAATAGTTGGGCAATGATTTAATCTACACTGTGGACTATATTCTAGTCTATAATCTGGACTATAAACATTAGCTCATACTATATTTCAGAATATATTTTTTTCATTCACTTAACAAACCAACCACGTACAAAACCCACAAATTTACTTTATTTCTAACTACTCTCATAATTTTCGTGTACATGATTCAAAATACCGGTTTCTTTTATCGTTTGGTAAACAACAAAAAACATCCATAAAATACCAGATACATTCAGTATAGACGACATCAGGTAATGTGAAAAATAAAGCTTTATTTTTGCTTTATTTTCCTTTATTCGCATTTCCAAGAGCAATGTTAAAGCTCTTCCATATTTATGGCGTTTTTTTTTTCAGTTTTCTTCCCCAAAAGTTTTGGCAGCAGCAGCAATAACCGTTATCGTTTTGGGTAGCACCCGCTCATACTATATTGTTCTCGATGATAATTCTCTGCATGTGACTGAGTCCCTCTCTCTCTCTCTCTCGTGGTGGTGGAACTCTGGTCGTTTTTAGAGAATTTTAGAACATATGTTGTGTGTTGTTGTTTACAATTTTTTGTTTTTGTTTTCTCATTTCTTTTGGGCTTTTGTATATGTTTTGTTGTTTGTGATAATATTTGTTCTTCTTCTTTTTTGTATTATATATATAAAAACTTTTTTTGCATGTGAAAATATATAGATTTCTGTTTGCATTTTGTCATTCAGTTAGTCGGTCGTGAGACTTTGGTGCGAGTGGGTCGTTGTTAAAGTTATAAACGGAGTGTTTTTAATTCTATACTTTAAGTATAAAAAAGAATTGTTTCTTATATTTGGTTAGTGTGAACAAATTTTTTTTTTAATTTTTTTGATAATAGTTTATTTTTTTTTTTTTAATAAATGTGCTTTTTTTAATTGCGTATGTGATTATTAAAATGGAAAAAAATATTAGTAAAATAATTAAGATTTTTTTATATTTGTTAATTTTGTAATATTTATGCAATCCACAGGCATATTGTAATTATTATTTAATTTTTTTTCTCTAATTCTTTTTTTTTTGCATTTTTTTCTTTATTATTACACAAAACAATTAGCAATTTTCATTGCCGTGCAAAAATAAGACAATTTCTTTTACAAGAGGATTTAAATAATAATCAAAAGAAAATCTAAACGCTAAAAGAAAAACCACAAAAAAAGTTACGTCAAACATTTGGATTTTTATTAAATAAAAAAAAAAGGTAAGTGAAGCAAATGAAAACCAAAAAGAACACATGTCTTCTGGTAGCAAAAGAAAAATATATTCAATAAAAAGAATTTTGCCACAAAAGGACGTGTGGAAAAATCAAATTCTAGACATAAATTGACCTTTAAAATAAACTTGAAATAGTTTAAAATAAATCATATCACCGGTTTTTTTTTAAATATTAAACAAATACGCCTAACAGTGATGAATTGTCAAATTATGAGTTATACTCACACAAACTCTTGTTGACACTTACACGCACACAAGTACTTTTACAGTTTTTTTTTTATTAAGTCTGAGAATTAATGCGTGTGTTTGACATTTGTTGGCAACGTAATTACTTTTTTTTATTGTATTTAGATTTTTTTTACACACACGAAATATATAACGAGATGATAAGGTTTTACTTGGTTTAATTCCATAAAATAAGGATGATCTTTGGTATTATGTTAGTTGTGTTTTGTTGCTAACGTTCAAAGGCAATTTCATATAAATTTAAAATTTATAAACGTTAGGAGTTAACGTGTAAAATTATACAAGTTAATTTTAACGTTGATAAAAGTGCTACCAATTCAAAAATAAAAATACAAATATTAATGTGTTTATGTCAAACAATAAAAAAATATTTTAAAATAAAATTTAAATCAAAGAAAATTACCAAATAAAAAAACCTTTTCAAGAAATTGTAAATAATTTCAAGATTTAGCAGATTTCTTCTGTGGAGTGATGCCAAGTCAGGTAATGTTCGTGTTGTTGCTAACTTTAAGCGTTAACACTCATTGATAGCAACAAAACACAACTGTTGTTATTGATAGACTGTGTTAAACCCTACACTAACTTTAACTAAAGTCAAGACTACAGACGGATCTATATAAACAAGACCGTAGAGTAATCTATCTATAGTCTAGACAACAGACTGATCTATAGCCCAGACTATAAACTGAAGTATAGTGCAGACTTTGGACTGTTCTATAGTGAAGACCATAGACTGTTCCATAACAAAGACTGTAGACTGATCTATCACTCTATAGTCTACACTACAAACTGATATATAATTCAGACTATAAACAGATCTATAGTCCAGACTATAAACTGATATATAGTTCTAACTATGGATTGATCTATAGTCCAGACTATTCTATAATCAAGACTGATCTATAGTCAAAACTATAGACTGATCTCTAGTCAAGACTACAGACTGATCTATAGTCAAGATTATAGACTGATCTATAGTCAAGACTATAGACTGATCTATAGTCAAGACTATAGACTAATCTATAGTCAAGACCATAGACTGTTCTATAGTCAAGACTATGGACTGATCAATAGTCAAGACTATAGACTGTTCTATAGTCAAGACTATGGACTGATCTATAGTCAAGACTATAGGCCGATCTATAGCCAAGACAATAGACCGATCTATAGTGAAGACTATAGAGCGATCTATAGTCAAGACTATAGAGTGATCTATAGTCAAGACTATACAGAGACTGTTCTATAGTTAAGAATCTAGGCTGTTCTATAGTCAAGACTCTAGACTGTTCCATAGTCAAGACTATAGACCGATCTACAGACAAGACTCTAGACTGTTCTACAGTCAAGACTATAGGCCGATCTATAGCCAAGACAATAGACCGATCTATAGTCAAGACTATAGAGTGATCTATAGTCAAGACTATACAGTGATCTATAGTCAAGACTATAGAGTGATCTATAGTCAAGACTATAGAATGATCTATAGTCAAGACTATAGAGTGATCTATAGTCAAGACTATAGAGTGATCTATAATCAAGACTATAGAGTGATCTATAGTCAAGACTATAGAGTGAGCTATAGTCAAGACTATAGAGTGAGCTATAGTCAAAACTATAGAGTGATCTATAGTCAAGACTATAGAGTGATCTATAGTCAAGACTATAGAGTGATCTATAGTCAAGACTACGGAGTGAGCTATAGTCAAGACTATAGAATGATCTATAGTCAAGACTATAGAGTGATCTGTAGTCAAGACTATAGAGTGATCTATAGTCAAGACTATAGAGTGATCTATAGTCAAGATTATAGAGTATCTATAGTCAAGACTATAGAGTGATCTATAGTCAAGACTATAGAGTGATCTATAGTCAAGACTATAGAGTGATCTATAGTCAAGACTATAGAGTGATCTATAGTCAAGACTATAGAGTGATCTATAGTCAAGACTATAGAGTGATCTATAGTCAAGACTACGGAGTGAGCTATAGTCAAGACTATAGAATGATCTATAGTCAAGACTATAGAGTGATCTGTAGTCAAGACTATAGAGTGATCTATAGTCAAGACTATAGAGTGATCTATAGTCAAGACTATAGAGTATCTATAGTCAAGACTATAGAGTGATCTATAGTCAAGACTATAGAGCGATCTATAGTCAAGACTATAGAGTGATCTATAGTCAAGACTATAGAGCGATCTATAGTCAAGACATCAGAGCGATCTATAGTCAAGACATCAGAGCGATCTATAGTCAATACTATGGAGCGATCCATAGTCGAGTCTATAGAGCGAGCTATAGGGCGATCCATGGTCAAGAATATAGAGTGATCTATAGTCAAGACTATAGAGTGATGTTAAGTCAAGACTATAGAGCGATCTATATTCAAGACCATAGAGCGATCTATAGTCAAGACTATAGAACAGTCTATAGTGTTGACTATAGTCAAGATTATAGAGCGATCTATAGTTAAGACTATAGAGTGATCTATGGTTAAGACTATAGAGTGATCTATGGTCAAGATTATAAACTATTCTGTAGATAAGACTATAGACTGTTCTATAGTCAACACTATAGACTGTTCTAAAGTCAACACTATAGACTGTTCTATAGTCAAGACTATAGAATGTTCTATAGCAAGTCTATAGCTAGTGTATTTCTTTGATACTCTAACATTGTATTAATCTAGCTTTAACTTTTAGTTTAACCTACAAACTAAAAATCTGTGCTAAAAATTTTTGTCGATATGTATATTAGATTAAAATAGACCCACTTTAAAGGTGCATTTTTCTTTTATTTACTAATTTTCTTACTTAATTTCAATAGATTTTTATTGAAAATTCCATGACAATGATAGTGTAATAAATCACACTTATAAAGTGAAGCAGGGCTGGAAAGTTGCAAACAAATGATATTTAATTATTAGTAAGAGCTTATTTGTTAAAGTGCCTTAACGGAATTTAAGTACATATTTTAGAAATAAAGCCACAATTTTTGTTAACTTAAAGATTAATTTCAAGAACTTTGCTAAGCACTAGATATTTTCAATAAAACATGCCATACTCTAAATATATTAATACTATAGAAATTTCCATCTCTGCAAATATACGTACCGTTTAGTGAAATAATGACGTTACTTTACAATGTTAATAAGTGCATAATATATGCATTTGTCTAACTAATAAATTCAATATTCTATTGAAATTCTCTTTACAAACTCTCCCTTCATATTTATTTATTTATACAGTACATCTCTTTTCGAAAAAATGTTAATTGTACTTTTTTTGTATTATTTCAATAAGTACTATTTGTCTACAAGTTTAATGTAAATATGTATTATTATTAAACAAATTTACATATTGTAAGTACAGCAAATAAAAAAAAGAATAATGCAAAAAAATGCATTTTACTAATTTATTAATAAGGCTGTTAACAGTTTATTGTGAATGACAATAAAAGTGACTAATAACGTTAAAGTTACAACGGAATTTTGTAGAATATTTTCTACAACTTATAAAAATTATAAACAATTACTTGCATAATTTTATTATTGTCATTTAAAAGGTTTGGAATTAATTTGATATTCTTAAAGTTAAAAAACAATAGAAAATTTGTGTTGCGGTTGGTATTTAAATATATTAATTAAAACAAGCGTCAACTATTAGTTTCATGATATTTAATATCTTAAATTTGTTTAATATTTAATTTTTATTAAAGTAGATTGCTAAAAAAATATTAAATTGTTTGATGACACCGGTTACGTTTGAACGATAAACGAAAATTAACTTATTAAATGTCAAAAATAAGATTTGTTAACTAAAACGCAGTTAGTTACTCGAGCGTAATGTAGTGTAAAGAGATGATTTTACGTTGGTGCTGTTAGTGTTAACATATTTTTGAATTTTATATTCGGCAGCCCTGACCTGTCTATAAACTATACTTTTGTTCAGATACAGACAATAGGCTAGACTATAACCCAGACTATAGACTAGATAATAGTCCAGACTATAAACTAGTCTGTAGTCCAGACTATAGTGTAGACTACAGTCCAGACTATAGTCCAGGCTATAGTCAAGACTATAGTCCAGGTTATAGTCAAGACTATAGTCCAGGTTATAGTCAAGACTATAGTCCAGACTATAATACAGACTATAGTCCAGACTATAGTATAGACTATAGTCCAGACTACTGTATAGACTATAGTCCAGACTATAGTGTAGACTATAGGGTAGACTTCAGTCCAGAATATAGTACTGACTATGGACTGGACTATAGTCCAGACTATGGACAACACTATAGTCCAGACTATGGACTAGACTATAGTCTAGATTATAGTTCAGACTATATACTAGACAATAGCCCAGAATATGGACTAGACACTATAGTCCAGACTATATTGTAGACTATAGGGTAGACTTCAGTCCAGACTATAGTACAGACTATGGACTATAGTCCAGACTATGGACAAAACTATAGTCCAGACTATGAACTAGACTATAGTCCAGACTATGAACTAGACTATAGTCTAGATTATAGCTCAGACTATATACTAGACAATAGCCCAGACTATGGACTAGACTATAGTCCAGACTATGGATTAGACTATAGTTCAGACTATAGACTAGACTATAGTCCAGACTATAGACTGGACTATAGTCCAGACTATGGACTAGACTATAGTTCAGACTATGGACTAAACTATAGTCCAGACTATGGACTAGACTATAGTCCAGACTATAGA